ATCCAAACTGACTGACACTTGTAAGATTGAAAGCCTTTGTCAGTTTTAATTGGAAAATCGTGAAAACCTTGATATTTAACAACTAGGATATTCAAATATTCTAATTGCAAGTTTTTTATTGTAACTTATTTAGATACTATGGAAGTTAATAATATAACGAATATCAAGTGTAATACTAACGTTTCAATCGTAGTTATAAATACGGCAAATAATATTAATGTTTCAGCAGTTATTAATTAAGATATTAATAGTGATTTGCAGAAATTACACTTTACGTGTATTTTCTATGAATCAAAGGAAAATTCGACAAAAGAAAGTAAGTCATAATTGACTTATTAAGGATTATCCCATTCACCACAACACATATACTATATTTACAGTGCGTTTAATTGAAGCACTTTTATTAAATTCATGAAAAAATTTAGTTTTTCTCAATTGTAAGAAAAGTGTAAAAAGAATTTTGAAGAATTAAATAATACAGCATCGAAGTAATTTTTTTAAAAGCGAAAAGAAAATTCAGCAATAAGAAAGACGTTAAATTGATTTAACGTTCACTTAAGTATATTTGATTATTTAATTCATGCAAATCAAAATCGACGACACCGTTTAAATTCTTTATTTCCGTTTGTTGTATGTGCCTTTTTCTATGATACGCTCGCAGAACTTATCAACTATACACAACCGGTCTATGTTTGGAGGGATGATCCGAATTCACGGCAAAATACGATCAAGGAAATTATCGAAAGGGCTACTTCGAAAGAGGATTGGCCACAGGTATCATTAAAAGACATTCCCGTCAAAAATAAGTGAATTACAGCTTTTCACTTTAATTCAAATAGAAAAGCAATACAATTTTTAGGAATTCAACATATGCTGATGTCGTGAAAATTTACTATCATTTGCAAATTGCATATATTTTGAAAAATAATTAAAAAAAAAAAAAAATAAAGAAAGGTATATTCAGAATAAACATCAGTTTTCTAGATGCATAGAAAATTGAATAATGTTTCGATTAAATTGCAGCTTAGTCGTCTTTTTGCGATAAGAGGTATATAGATAAACATTTAGCATACTTCTTGGTAATTACAATAGATAACAAAAACTATGTTTTAAAAATAAAAACTTACAGAAGGTAGCTTTCTTGAGAAAAAAGTGTCCATTTAAAAAATTTTTCTCAATTCTCTATACGTATATACTGGGTGATATGTAAATTAAACGAACGATTTCCTTCTACAGGTGATGATTTTCCCAGAAGGTACTTGTACAAATCGATCGTGCCTCATTACGTTCAAATCAGGTGCATTTTATCCTGGCGTTCCTGTTCAGCCTGTCTGCATCAGATACCCTAATAAACTGGACACTGTAACATGGACATGGGAAGGTCCTGGAGCGTGAGTACTACTTTTTGAAACTTCTTTCTTCTTTTCAAATAAAAAGAAAGACCGTAACATTCAACGTCCATGTTAAATTGTGAAAATTATGATTTTAGGTTGAAGTTATTATGGCTCACACTAACTCAACTGAATAGCAGTTGCGAAATAGAGTTCCTTCCTGTTTATAAGCCAAGTGAAGCTGAGAAAACGGATCCTAAGCTTTATGCAAACAACGTGCGCCGCCTTATGGCAGAGTAAGTGTATTTTATTAAACATCAACAAATGCTCACGTTACGACAATTCCAAATAGTCATTTAACCTGCCTATTTTACTTACGTACAATAGAAAAATAATAGACAGAGTGATAAAAGAAGAAGCGATAGATGTAAGATCTCGAAATTATAAAATTATTTGAGAAATATTAGAAATGAACGTTTATTTATTTTCCAGAGCATTACAGATCCCCGTATCGGATTACACTTACGATGATTGCCGGATTATTAGTAAAGCTCATCAACTACATATACCACACGCGTCCACCATAGTGGAAGCTCATAAACTTCGTAACAAACTTGGGTGTGTTATCATGCATAGAAAGAACAAATATACAATAATGAATATTATATTAGAAAATAACGTGAAGCTTGTTATTTTGGTAGCTTGATAGCGGCCAAGACAGAAGAAGAGTTCGTTCAAAAGAAAACATTGGACTTTAACGAGGAAGTTAACTTGGACAAATTCGCGCAGATCCTCAGAATAGACGAGAAAGAGCCTACTACTCAACAACTCTTTCGAATACACGACAGAGTCTGTATCGTTTGTTATACTCGTTATTTAATTTGTTATATTATAACGGCTATCTATATACAATTTCTTTAACAATTAATGCAAATGTTCACTTAAATATGTACATTTCGATTGTTACAGCAAGGAAAAGGTAAAATAGATTTGGAGGAATATTTATTCACAGTATTAGCGACGACAAACGCGAATTCGGAACTCGACAAAATCGAAACAGCGTTTGCAGTAAGTACGAACTTAAAAAAAAAAAAAAAACCCCTCGAATTATTTATATTACTTATATTATGGTTGATAGGTGTGCGGTATGAAATCATTGTCAGAAATCACTAAAATGGGTTTGAGAAAGGCTCTAAAGCTCTCGTTAAACATACCAGAAGAAGAATCGGACAAAATCTTTCAAAATGCGAAAATCGACATTGCCGATACGACGGTAAATTTCGGTAAGTACTGCAATGTAATGTATATACGACGAAAAAAAAAAAGAAAACATTAACTGTTAACGATAATATCTCCTTTTCTTCGTGCTTGTGTGTTTGCACAGAATTCGTGTTAGCCGCGATATCAGCACGAACAGAATATGCTCATATATTCACTGAAAATACCGAGACGAGGAAAAAAAACATTTGAGAATATTTAATCGACTCGTTCCATGCTCATCGAAGGTACAGGACCCACCGCGTCTGTAGCAGGCCGCTTCTCAATCAGACATGCGTCAGTCCTGTATAAATCTGTTCCATTCTTGCTAATATTATTACCCTCTCAACGAATAGATAGCCATTTTTTTTTTTAGTATTATTGTCGTTGACGAAGCAAGAAATGTCGTTTTGGTGAGAATTAAGGAAATGAAAAACGGAACGAGAAGATCGTATAGTAATTTATTAAGGAGTCGCAGAAGAAAAAAAGGAAAAAGAAGAAACGAATTATTGTCTGGTGTTCGTGTAGCGAACCTATCAAACCTATTACAGTACGAAGTCAATTTTCGAAAGGGTCGACGAAAAACCCGGGAGTATAAAGAGAAGAGAAGCAATAAAGAAAGATACTTATTTATTATTTAACACGCGTTTCAATGATTGTTTAATTTGCTACGATATGACTGCTTTAATTTATGAAGATTTTAATTTTTATATCGTGCTATTCTTTCATACGAGATTGTATAGTGCAAACATACGAATATATAGTTATAGGGACATACACGGAGAACAAGAAAAAAACAAGTTGGTCTTTTTTTATTTATCACGCGGTTCATACGCATACGATAGTTGTGATATAGCTTTCTTTTTGTTTCAACAGCAAGGTATTAATAAAAAGAAGAAAAAATGAAGAAGTACCACATGTTTTCGTTCAAAGATACATTTATCTCACGTTGTTAACTCGCGTAGAGCTTACTATAAAACTTTCCCCCCCTCAAAATTGTCACTTTGAAATTCGAAGTCATGTAAATAGTATTACACAGAAGGTTTCTTAGACGTAAGCGTACGCAGGTTCCCCTCCCCGTGTAAAAGGTAATGAAGCACGATGAATAAATTGTCCACGCAAAGTAAAATTAGTCTTAGTATTATTATCTAGATTGCTCAGGGTACTGATTAATTCGAGGATTCACGCGTTGCAATAAAGCGTGTGTGACCACATCTTGTTGGCTACCGGGTCATACAAACTTAACCAGAGTTTCTAATATGTCTAAGGTAACCGAACATGTTTAGGACAATGCATTTAGAATAAATATATTATAAAATTTATTCTTTGCACGGTAATAATACATGCTACAGTATTTAATATTTAATAAACGTAAGTACATATACATGTGCACACGTATATATGCATATGTACGTAAAGAAATGATGATACGTTGGTCATGAAAAATAGTGAAAACGATTATATCATCGTATATACGCATACATACATTATATACATGTACTGTATATCAATATATATGTATATACGGGAAAATATGTAATTGTATATATATATATAGATACAATAAAATATTCTTACAATATATGAACTATTTTTAATAAATTTGATTAATTCTTTTCATTTGTTTACAGCGAAGAAAACGGTGTTATCGTTTTATATCTATATGATGATTTTAAGTACAAATATACACGTACATTAACTGTAGTAGATCTATGGTATCACACAAAATCTTTACACGTGATAAAAATAAAGACTATTTTGTTTTGTAATATCAAACAGTAATACAAAATGAAATTGCCTTTACAGACGTTTCAACGTTTAATAATCACAACCGATTTATATTTGAAATCTTTTTTTTAGTAAGAGCACGATAACGTTATATGATACATAAACTATCTACAATACACAAGTGGTGAGATTCACTTTAATAAATATACTATAACTTCACGTAATATAAAATAACAAACTATACACTTCACTTATTTGCAATACTTTAAAATAAGTAATTGTGTAAAGCATTATAACTATCTTAGTAATCAATGGTTATATACTTAATTGTGCAGTTAAAAATCAAAATTAATATATTATTTACTGACTTTTGCTCTACGTTGTTTAGATTTAAATATTAAAAACAGCTGAATTTCGTTATACTTGTGATTTTAAATTACATGTTAAAAGGCACACCATTATAGTGATGTTTAATAATATTCATCTTCGAACTTATATCCTGATTATAACGATGTAAATTTTGTGCATCACTTGTACCGTTAATAGATAAGTACAATAGGTGTTAAAGTGAAAAAGAAATTTGAAAAGAAGCAACAAAAGAGAATATAAAATTGTGAAAAAAAAAAAGAATAAAATAAAAAGAAACAACTATTTATAAAAGTAATCAAAAGACAAAGACTTATCTTATTTCTTTCGAAAAATACTAGACATACTTGGTGAACTAGTTTTCTGTTGAAATATCTTGCTCACTCTTTGTTTCATGTCTTCTACACCTTGCCCCACATTTACTGTAGCCATTGATAACGAAAGACCCGAACTCATTGATAAAGACCTGTTAGAAAGCACAAGAAACGATAGGTTGCAAAATTATTTTAAAAATAAACACAATGTTCACAGCAGGTCCCATGTTTACCTTTCCATTGGTTTTGAAAGATCCTGCCGCGATTCTGCTTCCCTTAGAAGTGACCGAACAGCTTCTTTTTGTTGAGGTAAATATTGATTAACCAACTGTTCGAGACACTTCAATCCTGGCAGCAATACACCAGAAACACACTGATTACTCAGCGGACAATACACCAGAACAGAATATGCTTCGACCAAAGCACTAACAAGATCAATTTTACGACCTTGTTGTAATGTCGATGAAGTGATCCCCATTAATTGTGTAGCTATAACTGTACAAGATTAACAATTTTAGTTTTATATAATCGGAAGTAAAATTTAATAAACGCTCACCGTCTTCTATGTAATTTTGAGGACAATTAGGAGCGATAAAAGCTAACGTTGAGACCAACGGAAGTGCTAAAGTGGGCGGAACACCCTGAGGTTCTTTAGCAATGGTTTCTAAAGTTAAACGTGCTTTATCACGCATCTCTCTTACTTTGCACTCTGTTATTAAACGACCAAGAGAAGGAATTGCTGCAGATCGAACAGTTCTACAAGAATCGCAATATTAAATTATGCTAATTGCCCACGTTGTTTCAAAATTAATAACTGAACTCATAGATTCGTAAATCCGACTTCTAGATATAGGTGTGAATAGAATCGCTAATTTGAAATAAATCAAATATTTTTAAATGTATCTTACATATCGGGATCACTAACGAGTGTTACAATTGCAGGAACTACCTTAGTACTTGCTAACCGATCGGAAACGTGAGCTATCACGCAACTAAATAGTGTTGCGGTTGCGCATCTTACGATAGGTCTTTGGTGCACTACCCCTATAAAAAAAGGGAAGGAAGACATAACTTGATTACTAAATTTCTAACAAAAAAATAAAACAAAAACAAAATGGCGCTGAAAATATTGATGCAACTAACCATCCCACAAACCACTAAGGACATATTCTTGCATATGTTCTTGAGTGCATAACATAATAATTGCAATCTGTAAACTAGTAATACTGGTACCACTCATGGATAAAGCAACAAGGAACTGTTTTAAAGACTTAGAAACCTCTGTACCATTTAAAGTCGACAATATAATTAAATATGTTGGAATTAAAGTTAAACTCATATTTTTTTTATCTGTTGATAGGGTCGTTAATTGTTGCTCAAGTTCAGTTACTTCAGATACGAATATTGGTTGAATCTAAAAGCACGGGGGTTGTTAAGTTATACTTACGATAAAATATCTAAACATGACTGAAATGTTAAATTTACCCTTGTTTGCGTGATATATCGCCCAAAACCCAAACATAAAGAATGAACATACGTTAAAAGAGCATTTAAAATGTTCTCTTGTGCAGTTTCGACAGATTTTACCATTTCCAAAACGTCCACAACTCTGAAAAACGTTAATCGTGAATATACGAAATTGTCAATTAAAAACTTAGCTTAAGAAAACGAAGTACAATCTATTTGTAAACCACTCTAATTCCGGCCATGAGTCATTTTCCCATGTATTTGTAAAAAATGTATTTAGAAGAGTTGCTACATCTACATCGCCGTCATAAAATACTTTTGGATTAACAATATTGGAATGACACAAGTGCAGGAAGACCTCAGCTGAATCATAACATATATATCAAATTTAAAATAACTTCATAATTAATTAAAAATATTTTATAAATCAACTTATAATTTTATACTCACGCAAATCAGATGACATGCCATGTTCAACATAAGTTCTGACTGCATCAGTATCTACTATACAGATAACCATATGTGGAAGTAAATATTGTAATACTCCAATTGATGACACTATTCTTCCTTCATCTATGTGGTCTTTGTTAGGTGAGTGTTGGGAATGCCCAGACTTTAAATGACTTTTTACTTTAGATATTATACGCGGTAAAAGATGTGTTTGCAATCTCTTAAGAGAGAGCGCCCATTGAGCTAAAATCGGTAAAAGTATAGAAGATGCGACTTCAACAGCGGTAGGCGATGTGTCATAAAGTGCCGTTAAAGCTAATTCTTCACACTGGAAAAATAATTGTTACCAATGTAATTTATTTAAAACATTGTAGTGCATGTTAAATAATTTTCTCCTGTATGCAGTACCTGAAAATATTTATCAGGATCATCCATTAAAGCTATCAACAGTGCAAGACTTCTAATTACACTAGCCCTAACTGCAGGGTCTTTATCTTCAAGTAACATTTGCTGGAGCATAGAGAGCATTAACGAATTTCTTATTTCTACTGACATATATGGAGCTAATACAGAACAGCACTCAATAGCTAGTAACCTCTTCTCAGGGTACTTGTGCTGACTTTGTTCCCAACAAATAGTCAATATTTCTTCACCTTCTATTGGTTCATCCTCAAGTTTTGCCATAGCAATAAAACCTAGTATTAAAACAAGTAGGTAAAGCAATAATTTGTTTAAAATACATAATTACGTTATACATAATAAAATGCATTAACCAGCTAATATTAATTGTCTTTCATCTTCTTGTGGTCTCTTCTTTAAGCTGAATAGGAGCTGTAATAATTTTTCTCTTTCTCCGGAGTCATTATGAAGCCGAATTGCACTTAGTATTAGTGGTATAACTTCTTCGCGTTTATTTAAGATAACATTGGGTACGATACGAGGTAATGTTTGTGCTAAAATTTGAACGAGAGTGTCGCGTGTCACTCCATTTTTAAAAACTTCTTCTGCCGAAGAAATTACGGAATTTGGTACATTTACTAAACAGTGTGTTATCACCTCCATTTTAAACTTTAGCGGTAGATGTCTAAAAACATTTATTTCTTGTAAAATATTTCTACTAGAAAAAAAAAAAAACGTATATTATTCGTGGAAACATTATACCTAGATGGTGGATTTGGAAGGATAGATATTCCTTCTGAGACATCCACCCTAGGTAATTGAATTCTAGTCCATTCTTTATCTCCAGGATCTGTTTCACCAAGACTAACAACAGCTGAAACGCTATCATCTTCCTCTGGTTCTTGAGTAACGTTCGATGTATCACGAGCAGGAGTTTCAAGAAGTTCAAACTTATCCGGAGTGGTAGAATTTGAATTTATTGTTTGTATTGTACCGCTACTACCTTGCTGTATTAGAATCACGTCAATTATAAGAACGTAGAAAATATTTTTCTAAGTCATTTATTATACATGATTTCGATTTATACCTTAATCGGATTTTGAGATAAATTTTCATTTGTGGTGGCAATAATTTGTTGCAAATCCAATTTTTCTTGTTCTAACAATACAGTTTGTTGTCTGAGTTCTTCCACTTTTTTTACCTATTGAAGATACTATTTTTTTATAAATTATCTTAAGTAGGAATAAAGCCCAAATTTTCAAATGCATATAATTTTTACAAACCATTTCTTTAAATTCATTCTTTTCTATCTCAGACTCTACCTCACAGAAATCTGTTTGCACACCAACACTCACAGAAGGTGACTTATCATACCCATTTGCTCTCATATATTCCCTATAAATTTGTAATAATTCTGCTGGTTTTGGAATATTCAATCCCACATCCTGCCAATCTTCAAAATCCTGATTTTCATTTTCATCACTAAATGTGATTGATGTCAACTTGTAAGAACGTGCTAATAAATATTCATTAACAAGAAAATTTACAGCTCTTTGTTCATGAGGTTTTATTGGGGGTTTACTGGCTAAATGCTTATCAGAGCACTTATTAGGTGTAGTTCCTTCAGACTCTAAAATATTAAATATACCAAATTATTTATTGTAATTTCAACTAGTAAACTGTACTAGTCAAGATGAAAAAAAAAACCTGTTACTACAGTGAGATTTGCACGAAGAGCAGAAATGCTTTCCCTGGCCTTTCTTAGTTCAAACTCTAAAATTGCTACTCTCTCATCAACTCCTGCACCATCTTCTGAATACCTTGTCATATCAAGTGAATCTAAAGTAGCCTGACTAGAGGACCTAGCTAATAAATAAAATGCAAATACTATATTATATTATTCCTGCAGTTTCTTTTACATATTTAATTATACAATTTATTTGAAAGAATGCAAACTATAAATACTGAAGTAGGACTTATGATTCATAAAACTTTTTGCATATTTTGTCATTTTACTGCAATAAATGAATAATAATCACAGTGTAAGTATAAAGATGAAAACTTGCAATAATATTAGATTTGTGTGTTAGTCTATATATGAAGTATTTTTTATCATTTTGACTGTTAATAAATTTCTATGACAAAATAGATGACTCCCATAATATTGTACATACGCATAGGAGTATAAGGTTCTGGTTTAATATTTTGAATTTCAAAATGATTCGGATTCGAAAAAAATTCTCTTAAAATAGGTAATTCTTTCCCAGCTTCGCATAGTTCTGCATGTAATTCCAAGGCCGTTAATAAAAGCTTTTCGTTTAAAAGCTTATTAGCGATTTCTTCGTAAGATAACGATGTTTTTACAGTCGCAGATCCTAAAATAATATATAAACATCCCATATTATGACATTTTCATGCAGAAGACGTCGTATTATAAAAAATTAATATACGAGAGTTTGTTTGCTCCAACTACCGATGACGTGTATACATTCTACATGCATCAATGACACAATTTGTATTTGTCAAAATGTTTTTTATTTCGCGTTTTGATTTCGTACAATAAACAAATATTATTTTAAAAATACAAGGCATAATGTTCATTTGAACAAAATTAACTGTTAAAAAATAATTATTACCTTTACTGTCTGTAGACAGAGGATCCCTAACCTCCTGTACAGCACCAGCCATAGCTTTCACTTTGTTCGAACGTTAACCGAGAATGACATGTCCATCTAGGTTGATGAATAAAATAGTAACCCACTCAAGCGCGTGCCATGCTTTCATTAATTTAATTAAGTATATTAATAGAAATCACTTGACTCTGCGCGACACATCACATCATTTACGATGACAACAAAGCCATGTTACCCTCCGTGATGTCAGTACACTAGCGCCTTTCAAGTGGCAACTACGAATACGTCAATTACTTAAAAGTTTATGTTAATAACGCATATTATTGTTTGAATATAATATCGAAACGAATTTATATATTTAACATTACCTTATCAAATTTCGTTTAGTGAAATTATTGCTTAAGTAATATTAACGCCTACCAATATACAAAATTAAACTTGCATACTTTTATAAAGCTCTCGGAATGTATGACACTAGCGTAAAACTAAAACGTTATTTGCTTGGAAATATTTAAATTATTCGCAAAAGTCTTAATTACATGCCTGATTAAATAGTATATAAGGTATAAATTTGTAAACATACACATGTACTTCAAAAACATAGTTCTTTATCTTTCTCAGTACAAGTTTGAAGCAATTTGAATATCAATAATTTCTTAGAAAAATTACAAATAAAATATAATTATAAGGAAATAAATGTGTATAAAATCAATACTTAAGCAGAATAAGTATTACAGATACAAGTGGTTTTGCATTATGTTACACTTAAAAGTCTAAACGATCCTGTAGCTTGTTGCACATGGAAAACCTAACAAAGAACAGGGTCTGAAGTGTACCGAACTACGCTTTAATTTATTACAAAGTCACATTTATTAGTCTCAGCTCAGCTATCTCAGCGTAATCAATAATACGAACTTGTTGTTCTATATACAATCTACCTTCTGCGCGTCTTTTGTCAAATAATAATTTTTTAATAAGTAATAATAGTAGTAATAACGTGTCAAATTTTTTCGAAATATTTTTTAATTTTTTTTTTTTTTGCTTTCGCCTCGTTGATATTTTTATAAGTGTGCTGAAAAATCGGTATAAATGTAACTACTAAAGGAGTAATATTTTACCGTGGTAATCATCGTAGCTTAGAGAAAACTCGGAAGGACTGTAACACCGTTTTACGTTACCCTATATTACTATTGCAACGTTATTTAAAGTTGGTTCGTTTAGATATATGGTCTTACAAAACCATTTAGAAACAAGATTGGCCGAACGATTATTCTAAATAACTAATACGAAATTATTAACATTTTGTTCCTACAATTCGTTCAAGCACCATTGGCTGTTTAGTATATGAGCGTTTGAACAAATTGGATTTGATTAAGTCTAAAATTATTACTTCGTTCTTGATTTACTATCATTGATAGATACTACTTTGTAAATGTCGATAATGAACTTCGATCGACGCTAGCATGCTAATATTAATTCTTACAACTAGATCACTACCGTCGATATTATCAACGATAAGTTTTTTTCGTTAGTCTTGTCGAGTTTCATGGTGTTGTTGGTAGCTACGACACTTGATCCGTACTGATACCCTATTTTCTTAGATTTCTATTTACTTCCTATCATCACGTCATATAATTAACAACTAGTTTTAATTCGAACAATGATTTTTTTCGTTACATACCAATATATTCAATTGTCTCAGCAACCAACGGTAGAATCAAAAACAGCATAAAATTTATATAAAGTATTACAGGTCTTCCAGAATTTTTCTAAGTTATAATTATTTTATTATATTTTCTCTAACCAGCAATCGCCATCTCAAGATTTCACTCAGATTGAGATCAGGAGACACAAGGCGGCATAGTACTTTTTTTTTTGATTGGTATCAATCTAAATCTAGTATTTGGACGAAGTGCGAGGATGGGTCGTGCGTGCTTTTGCTTTCTAAATCGAGCGTGCGAATCTCATAAAATCGTTTTACTTCATTTAGCCACAGATAGCTTACTTTCGTATTTTCTTCGCCAGTTAATAATTTATTTTCATTAATTCATTTGATACGTGTACTAGTCTTTTAAAAAAAAGAAAAAGATGAAAGAAAAACAAAAATACGAATGCGTAATTATGTATACGCGTGTGTTTGTATGCGTGTGTGTATGTGTGTTATGAAGGATGATTGGAATTTGTAGAGCAGCCCTGAGAAAGAGCGATCGACGCGCGTGGAAATAATGTGTACGTGAATTAAGGCAATGTTGCCTGTGTGAATCTGATCTGTATGAGAATGAACGTTTCACTGAACATGTGAATTTGGGAATTACTTATTATTTACTTTTTTTGCTTTACGTTAACTTTTAACCTCAAGTCTTAAGAGCTGTGTGACGTGCATCTGCACACCCGTGCCTCGAATTTGTATACAAATGACAACCTTCAACACTAAATATCGATACTTCTGTAAAAAAGTAAACAGTAATCAATAACACTTGTAACTTTTTTTATTTTTTCCCAATAAATGTATAGTATATAAACTTACCGTCAGGCAACTCGTATAGTTTTCTAGGAAGAGAGGCAAAATAAGGATGCCTTAATGCTTCTTCAGCTCCTATCCGTTGATCAGGATTTAACTGTAGAAGCGATGACGCCATACTATCACCTTCGGCAATATCATAGAGTCTAGGAAATGAAAGACCCAATTTTCGCGGAGGATTGAATCCTCCTAGTTTATGTCGTTTGTATCCTGGCAGGTGCGTAACACCCGGCCAAGTTTCTTCAGTAGGAGTACCCAATACTTTGAATATTTTATCAAGTTGGTCGTACGTACAGCGTACACCTGGGAATGTTGGTTCGCCAGTCAACATCTCCATAAATATGCAACCTACACCCCACATGTCAAGCGAGGTAGAATACTCTGTGGAACCCATAAGAACATCAGGTGGCCTGTACCATAAAGTCACAACTTCGTTTGAATACGTATGTGACGGTACTGATTTAGCTCTCGCTAGACCAAAATCTGCTAATTTTAGTTCCCCTATTTCACTGATTAACAAGTTTTGCGGCTTTACGTCTCTATGTAATACTCTCCTAAATGAATGTACAATGAATTAGTCTCCAGTAATAAATTTAACAACTTAAATTTATATATATATACATGTCTTTACCTGCGATGACAGTACGCTAATCCTCTTAATAGTTGAAATAGAAACAATTTAACATTTCGTGGATCTAAACCACCATTACCGCTTCCATACCTCTCCATGTATTGAGATAGATCGGTATGAACATATTCAAAAACAAAAGTAAGAGTTTCACGCGTATGAATTATATCGTGTAAGGTAACGATATTGCTATGCTTCAATTCTTTGAGAAGGCTTGCCTCGCGAATGGCAGTAAATGGAGCACCTTCTTCCTCTTGCAGTCTAATTTCTTTAAGTGCCACCACTTGATTTGTAAGGTGACTATAGCCTTTGAACACTGTGGCATATGACCCTTCCCCTAATTGTTCAAGTTTTATATAAGCTTCAGATTTACCAAAAGGAGAATCTCCCTGTAAGTACGAGTAATTTTTTAATATTACAATGTCGAGGGAATGCAACGGGATGGAAGAATAAATGTAACATTACCCCAAATGCTGAAAATCTTTTGGTTCTTCTAGGAGGTTCTGGCCCAAGGAAGACCTCTGACTTGGGTCGCGGTGGACGTCGAGGTCGTAAGATTACTCTTGCTTCTTCGCGTATATCTTCATCGAGAAGCTTGGAATCACTAGAAACGGAAAGCTGCCGATGCACTCTCTCATGGTCGCCCACACCTGTCCATTCTATGACATCCAATTTCGTCCTTAAAACTTTCTTTAAAATAACAGCAACAGGAATCCACGTAGAATCATAATCCCTTAGTATTTTATTAATACATAAAATCTTATGTTTATACAATGCACCTTTATTCAATAATACAATAACATATTCTGTCAATTAAACTGTACTACTGACTGCTATTAATTACTAAAATAATAAATGTTTACCACAGTTATCACAGGCCAGTGCAAATGTCTTTCATAGCAGTCATTCACATAACTTATGTCTTGTGAAAAACGAAATGCTTAGCTTCTTGGTAAATGCTGATGCACTTATAACTTTTTCACTTTGATAGATAGAGTTACATTTCATATTATTTATGATTTATACATTAATACAACTGCTTTTATAGCAAATTAATTGCACACTTACCATAACGGCGATCCTTATCTGCAGGTATGTTGCCGTTTGGTTCTAAACGGTCTAGGAACTCCTCGGAATAGCCATTATATGGCAGTTGACCCCTGTTTGCAGCATCATCAGCCTCTTCTTTTGATATTGCTGAAACAAATAAAATAATAACATTCATAAATTAAAACTAGATAACAATGTTTAAATTAGTATTTTGCAATATTCTTACATATTAGACATAAATAAATATCAGAATAATAATTAAGCAATAAAAATAAAGCTATAAGTAATTAGTAATATTATCACAGAACATAAAACAAGTATCAGTAATGATAAAACAAGTTTGTGAAACCTTTAAAGAGTTCAGAATGATATTAATGCTTCTATAACACATCTTATGTAATGAAAAAATACTGTACTATGTATCAAGTATCAAACTATTCTTGATGTTTCATTTTACAAATTACTTCAGATAGTACATTTGTTTTATATAACATTTAATAATTGTATTTATACTTACAAAGTCTTCCAAAGCTGTGGCTAAGCCGTTTTTTCAGCTTTTGTACTCTGCTAAGAGCACCTCCCTTCTTCTCCCGCATTGTCACAGACCCTGTGCATAATAAGCGCAATCTTTAGCAACTGTAAATCAAAACAAAGATATATAAATTCATACATTGGCATACTGTAATATGTGGCCAAGAAACTCAGAATAATTCAAACATTATGGACTATTACATGTGTGATGACATCATGCAGTGTGCAATGCCAGTGTTCCTCAATCTTATGATTAATGGTAGCAGGGATGTGTAAGATATATTTGCCTTGGATAAAGTGCATCATATATAACAATATTATCAATGAACACTTCTTTTGCACAGAAGAACATAAAAGTTTGTCCTGCTTATATAGATAATGATATTTTTTCTTCTGTTAAATAAAGTGATGATTGTGCTATGTAACAGTCTGTTCGTTTAAACAATGAAACAGTGGAGCAAAAGAATTTATAATTGCTTGTACAAATGCAAATGACATTCTTTCTTAATTTATGTACCATATAAGTATGTATGCTCAATTCGAAAAGACAATAGAAGCAGTTGTTCATTGCATTGACCAGGTTATTCTATTGAAGAAAATTAATACCTAATTGAGCAATGTATAAAATTTACAATCATTACAAAATTACATTAAAAAATTAGAAAT